TGCAGATCAAAGCATACTATTTGCTCCTTTTTCCTCTGTTTTATTTTGTTTCCTCTTTCTGGTGTTTCCTCCTATCGGTTCTAATTCTTCACAACATGAATAATGTGAAAATATGTTTAAAAGACATGTATATGTAAGCCTGTATTATATTGCACACTGTCTTGGGGAGGGAGGTGGGGAGGAAGGAGGAGAAAATTTAAAACTCAAAAGCCTATGGAAGTGATTGTTGAAAACTAAAAATAAATAAATAAATTTAAAAAAATAAAGAAACTGAGGAGATAAAGGAGAGGTTCCTTCCAGATGAGGTACTGTGAATTCCTATGAGTGGAACCTCAGAAACCATTTCTAGTTTAACCTCAACCTGAACAAGAATGAAGTCAACAATATACCTACAAAATATTTCACCTTTGTTTGAAAACTTTTAGTGAGGGGAAACCTAGGAATCCTAAGGTAGCTTATTTTGTGTATGGGACAAGTGAAAGTTTCTCATGTAAGATGTAAGCTATGCTCCATAAATGTAGTAAGGCTTCAGAATGAGCTGGCCTAAGTTTCACTTTTGTTTCTGGGGAAGGGGGTTGTGCACTAGCTGCCCACCCCCCTCCCTTGTTTTGTAACCACCCCCTCTGTTGTTTTGCGTCTTAACTTTACCAAATAAGGCAATCCTCTAGCTCCCAAGCTAGTTTTGAGTAAAATGTATCTCTTGGGTTCTAAATATAGACTGTGAGGTCTCTTGCCTCAGCCAATGAGGATAAAGAGATGGAGACAAACAGGTGGGGAGGGGGGCTTTTTGGAGTGGTTTGTCTAAGACTATATTATACTGCTTGCTGTTGTTTGAGCTTCACCTCACTACTCCGGTCTGCCCTGGGTAGGAGATGCCCAACTCTCCCTGGAGACTTGCTAGAATAAAACCTTCTGTCTTCTACCTGGAGATACCTCTGAGTTTTTATTTGGGTAAGTGGTCTCTATTCCACTCATTTTGCTTTCGGCTAGTTTAAATTGTTAGGTAGTTTTCCCTTCCAATAAGCCACGACTTGCCTCTTTGTAACTTTTGTTCCCTCTTCCCAGTTGTAGCCCCTGGGGTCCTTGAAGATGACCTCTTCAAAGGGATACTTATTTCTTTAGCCCATCACGGGGCACTCTCTCCATCACCTTTATCTCCTCTTTGAGAGGCTCTCTAACTGATCAATATCCTTCCTAAAATGTGGTGCTTGGAATCCAACACAGGACTCCAGATGTAGTTTAACTAAGCCAAAGTACAATGGAACGATCACCTCCCCAACCCTAGGTGCTGTGTGGCTTTAATTTAACCTAAGATCGCATTAGTTATTTGGGCCGCCATATACTTTTAACTGATAGGGAGTTGACAATTCACTGAAATGCCCAGATCTTTTTCAGATGAATTACTGCGTAGCTGAGTAGCATACTACCACACACCTTGTACTTGACAGGCTGGCATTCATTCTAAACCCAGGCCTACCCTTCACCTTATTGAAGTTCATTTAATTAAACCTGGCAGGGTATTCTAACCTCCTCAGATCTTATCGTATCTTTATTCTGCAACCTAGCCTTAGTTATCCTTCCTAGGTTTATGTTATTCCTGAGGCCAATAGGGCCAGCTGAATCCCTCTTTCATGGGATAGACTTTTCTATTACCTAAAGTCAGAGAACCCATTTTCCTGTTTCCTAATTTCCAGGCTAAATGAAGGGAGGAAGGAAGGAGGGAAGGAAACAAGCATTTATGAAGTGCCTGCTATGTGCCAGACACTGTGTAAGCACTTTACAAATCTCTCTTCTGGTGCAACCGGATCCCTCAGCCAATCCACCATCAACATCCTCACCTCACCCAGAGGGTCATCAAGGAAGTTTTTTTTATTAAATAACGTTTATTATAGATCAATAAATGAGGGATCTACTTTTAAAAAGTGAATAACTTGAATGATTTTTTAGTTTTTAACTCCACACAATTAAAGTGAATGAAGACTGATTGTCTTAGCTCTTCTCAGCAATACAATGATCCAAGACAAGACCAAAGGCATGATGGAAAATGCTGTCCACATCTGGAGAAAGAACTGATGGAATCTGAATGCAAATTGAAGCATACTATTTTCACTTTATTTTTTTTGTAGTTTCTTCCTTTTGCAAACTGTAATTGTTTTGCATACTTTTTCTTCTTTTACATCATGACTAATATGGAAATAGGTTTTACATGATTCCACATATATAACCTATTTCAAATTCCTTACTGTTTTAGGTAGAGAGGAGGGTAAAGAAGGAGTGAAAAAATTTGGAACTCAAAATTTTATAAAAAAATGAATGTTAAAAACTGGTTTTACATGTAATTGGAAAAAATAAAATACTATTAAAAAGTGAATAAAGAAGTCATGTAATTGTAATATATGTCAAGGAGAAAGTGAGGTCATAGGAACCTCACAACTATTACCTTTATGTAAATATAGAAGTGTAGAATCTCCAAAACTTATTTCAACTTATTAATGTACTTCCTAGGATGTATCCCCCTGATCTGGGAGTGAATACTATGCTATAAAACATAGTCTGACCAGAGTAGGGTGCGGCATAATTACTAACTTCCTTTATTCTGAATACTACTTTTCTATTCATGAAGTAAAAGTTTGTATTACCTTATTTGACTGTCCTGTTACACTTAAGTTACTTACGTTGAACCTTGCACTAAAATTTCTAGGCTTTTCCCACATAGAGCAGTGTCACTCGACACACTTTGACCTTTTCAAATCATTGATGTGCCCAGGCACATGGACATGAGCTGCAATTAAACATTTCCCATATTCTGTGTACTTAGGCGGCTGAATTTTTGAATCCAAGTTCAGGAGTTTGAAATTTAATAGGGATGGTGTGACCATGGGAAAATCCCTTAATCTCTCTGGGTTTCAGTAAGATAAGGGTGTTGGACTAGATGGTCCTTGGGGTTCCTTCTAGTCCTAAATCTATGATCCTATGGTTCCATGTTTGTATGAAACAAATGTTTTTGACATTTAATTATTACAATTTATTTTAGGATTTAAATGACTTCCAGGTATAATTCTTAAATCCACAATACAGTATTAAAAACAAAGAAAATTGCAAAACCAACCTCAAAGTATCAAAACCTATTTGGTTGATCCAATAAAACGAGGTGTCAAATATAAATCAAATAGCCAGTCAACAAGCATGTATTAAACACCTTTTCTGGGCCAGACACTGGGCTAAGCAGTGGGGATACAAGGAAAGCGCAAGGGAAGTGACTGTCTAATGAGAAAGACTACATGAAAGTAATCTCTGTACAAACAAGATACAGGATAAATTAGAGATAATCAGTAGAGGGAAGGTACTAGAACTAAGGAGGATCACAAATACATTGTACTAACTTAGGAAAGGCTTTAACTTTTGCCTATTTACATTCTGAATGCCTCTCCATTTTTATATGCTTTGTTTATAATAGCACTCAAGAAAACAGTCTCTTGGTAGGGGCAGAGATATGTGTGTGTGCGTTATGTGTATGTACGTATGTGAGAGAGAGACAGAAAGAGACACAGAAAGGGAGAGTGAGAGAGAGAGAGAGAGAGAGAGAGAGAGAGAGAGAGAGAGAGAGAGAGAGAGAGAGAGAGAGAAGCCTTCTTTCAAAGGAATTCTCTTATCTTCTCACTTGCTAAGGAATCACTTGTTTCTGTGGTGAGTGCTGGGGACCTGGAGCAATAAAGATCAGAGCCAGTACACTTACTAGGATGTGACCCTGAGCAAAAAATGTAAATTTCTTGGGGATAATAATAGCATCTTCCTCACAGGGCTGTCATGAAGATCAAATAAGACAACTCGTGTAAAATGCTTTGCAAACTTTAAATTCTATTCCTAGCAAGAGACACCGTATCTTCGGACTGCGTGGCATTTTCACGGGCTGCCTGAACTTCTCTCCCTCCTCATCATCGCCCCCTGGTTTCCTTCAAGTTTTATTTGAAGTCCCACCTTCTGCAACAAGCCTTTCGCTTAAATTCAGTTCCTTGCCTTTGAGATTATATCCAGTTTATTCGGCTTCTACGTAGTTTGCGTGTGCTCTCTCCCATTAGACTGTGTGCACTGCGGGAACTGAGCCTGTTCTTTTGCTATTCTTCTGTATCCCCAGTGCTTAGCATAGTGCTTGGCCCAGAGTAATTATATTACATTAATATCTTAATAAATGCTTGTTAATTTGATTTGATTGTGTCTCTACTGGAGACCAAGCTCCCTGAGGGCAAGAGAACCAGTCTCATTCTAAACTTTGAAACTCCTCCAAAGCTAAGCACAAAAGACTGAGCCCCTTGCAAGCAGGGCCTGTTTGGGGTTTTTCTTTCTTAGCACAAAAGGGGCTTTGCACACAGCAGTCACTTAATAAATGCTTCTTGACTCTTCACACAGTGGTAATACATCTGCGGATGAACTGAATGAAAGTAAATCTCTGCACGGAACTCTGGACTCTAGAGGGGCAGTTTTGAAATGGGAAATCATTCTAATCAGGGCTCCCAGGAGGGAGGGAACCGAGGCAGACAGCCAGAGACTTAGGTCGCCCCGGCCCCGGCTTCGGGCCAGATTCCCCAGTGCAAAGCCAGTGAGACGGCGCCACTGGGCGCCTCAATTATCCGCAGACTTCTAAGGCCCGGCGTGTGTGTGGCGCGGTGCAGGTGTGTAGGAGGGTGTAGGGCGTTGAATCACGGAGTGTAACACTAGAAAGTCGGCTCTCAGGGCGTTTCCAGTTCTGGACCAGGTGGGGTGGGGGAGGTCTCCCACTTCGGGACCTGGAACCTCCAAGAACAGCTAAAGTCACTCCGCCCAGCGACAACTGCCTCCCGCTGCCCTGACCTTATGTGGCCACGGGGGTAGGGGAGGGAGGAGGCGGGCCTATCTAGCCTGGCCAACCGCCTTCTGCGACTGTTGGCGTCCCGCCCCCGTCCGTGCGCCAGGCCTCCGCCCCGCCCCCGGATTCCCCTTCTCCACCCCTCCCCCTACGGGCCAGTGGGGCATTGAGCGCAGGCGCGGAGCGCTCTAGTGGGTGAGCTGAGGAGGGGGCGGGCGGCGGAGGAACGCCCCCATCGGAGCGGAGCGGACCGCTGGAGCTGGAACCCAAGCCCCGCGGATGTGCGGAGGACTCTCCGCTTTCGCCATGGAGTACGTGTGGGAGGAGGTGACCCTCACCTTTTCCCGGGTCCCCATGTTCCCTTTCTTCGATATCGCCCACTACCTGGTGTCTGTGATGACACTGAGGCAGCAGCACGGTGAGTCCCCTTGGCTGGGAGGAGCCCGGGACCCCCAGGGCGAGGGGCTGCCTGCGGGGGGACGCGGACCGGCCCCCAGTGCCTCACTCTGCCCGGGGGAGGCGTCGCTCTCCGCCTCACTTTCCCCCTAACGCCTCTCCTGACCCACGCCCCCTTTCCCTGGCCCTTGTTACCTGTGCTTAGCACTCTCAGAATGAGCGACCTGGAACTGGCGACTGTGATTATATCTGTCTGCACTCCCCAGGTTGTGAGCGTAAAATCTGGCAATGTTTGTAAAACCCTTTCCATATCTTAATGAGGCAGTAGAAGGGTTAGCGATTTTATCGGTAGAGTTGTTTCCTACCAGGAAGTAAACTGTACGGATAATATAGGTCCTCCTCCCACTCTTTGGGGCCCCCTCCATTTCCCCCCTCTTCTCAGGGTCAAACATAGAATCTTGCCCATACGTGGTGCTTAATGGATACGTTCTTGAAATGGGTAAGGAGCACCACTGACAAATGGGGTGTTGTGTACCGGTCTGTGTATAATTAACTGCGGCCGTCCAGGAAACACATGCAGTCTTGGCCCTTGCCTGTGGGGAAGGGCTTGCTGCCTCTGATATGATTTAAGACAGGTGGCTAAGTGACCTACAGCCAGAATGTGTGGCTGCAATGTTTCTGTTGCAATCTAAGGATCTGAAGTTTTGCCCAGTGTTAAAGTCATGTTCTTGTAAAGCATTTAAAAGCTGAGACACAAGGTTCACAGTTGACAATTGCAAATCAGAAGTGTGCTTGAAATTTTTTATCTTCACTTAAAAAAAAGACATCTCTTAAAATATTCAAGAAGTTATAGGGCAGTTTGCAACTCTGAAAGTTCTGTAAGTTTTTAAAATAACAGTCTGAAAGCAAAAGTTAGAATTGTAGAGTTTGAATTACTATCTGATTTGCAGGATTTCTCCAGTATGTCTTCTGCAAACCTTTTCTTCCTTCTTCATACCTCCTTTGGCTTTTCTTCCCCTTGCTCTTTCAGCTGAGAATTTGCCTTATATTTCAGTCAGAGTCAATAAACATTTATTAAGAGCCTACTATGTGCCAGGCACTATGCTAAGGTGTGGAAATGTAAGTATAAGTGGAACCTCCCCTCCTGTATATAGCTTGCTTTGTATGTATCTGCATGTGGTCTCCCACCTTAGATTGTAAGCTCCTTGAGGGCAGAAACAAAGAGTCCCTGCCTTGTAGGGGTTTATAATCTAATGGGGAAAGACAGCACATTAAAGGAATTGAAGGAGACCGGGGAAAGATTATGGGGAGTAGAGAAGTACTAAAGCAGTGGAGCTAGTGGGAAATCAGGAGGAAAACTGTGCTGAGCCTCCTCTTTAAGTAGAGGCCTTGAAGCCTATGCCCTCACTGTAGTCAAAGGGTCCAGTCAGAGGGGCAGAGGGCACCGAAGAGATGTGAAGACCAGGCAGATTCAATCTTGCAGCATAATGAGATTTCCCAGTGATGCCTTTTCCTGGGGAAGGAAGGCAGATGGAGAGGTCCAAAGATGTCCAAAATCAGTTGAACTGGTGGAAAATTGGGAGAAAAACTTTACTGAAAAAATTGTGGACATTTGCTTAGAACTCCTATTTATCATCTCTTTTTCATCTTATATCTCTCAAATGTCTTTTGCTTCTGTGCCTTACTTCCCCCTTGTTTCATATGAAGAGGTAGCTTTTCTTGCCAAGGCAAATTGTTTTCTGTGCACAAGTGATTTCGTTCCATCTTTTCTTCACTATCAGATTGCCCCTTTTATCATCTCCATTCTCTTTCTAATCTTCAGTTGCTCCTTATCTACTTAATGGTTACATCTCTTCTTCCTTTAAACACATCTATGTCTCCAGTCCTCAAAGAAACCCTCACTTTATCTGTCCCTGCTAGCTGTCATCCCATACTGTTAGCTGCCGTCCCATGTCTTCCCTTTCGTGGCTAAATGCTTTGAGAAGGCTGAGGGCCATATATAATTGCCAACAAATCAGTAAATTGTTAAATACCTGCTATGTGCCAGGCAATGTCCTAAGTGCTGAGCATACCAACAGAAAGGTAAAAGACAGTCTCTGCTCTCAAGGAACTTGAAATCTAGTGGGAGAGACAACATGCAAACCACTGTATAGTAGTAGAGGCAGCTAGGTGGCAGCAGGAGATAGAGTTCTAGGCCTGGAGTTAGGAAAAACTGAGTTGAAGATCAGTTATCAGCTATGTGACCCTAGGCAAGTCACTTAGCTTCTCTTTGCCTCAATTTCCTTATCTGTAAAATGGGTATAATAATTACACTTACCTTCCAAGATTGTTGTGAGGCTCAAGTGAGATAATATTTGTAAAGGGCTTGCCCAGTGCCTGGGATGTAATAGGCTGTATATAAATGCTAGCTATTATTATTATTTACAAATGAGATATATACAGGATAAATTGGAAATGATCATTTGGATTCAGTAAACATTTATTAAGCACCTTCGGTGTTCCAGACATTGTGCTAAGCCCTGGGGGTATAAAAAGAAGCAAAAGACAGTCCTTACCCTCAAGGAGCTTACAATCTAACCTGGGAGACCACGTGCAAACAGATATATACAAAGCAAGCTATATACAGGATAAGTAGGAAATAATTAACAGAGAGGAAGCACTGGAAATAACAGGGGTTGAGGAAGACTTCTTGTAGGAGGTGGGATTTTAGTTGGGACTTAGAAAAAGCCAGGAAGCTCAGTAGTTGGGAGTGGAGGAAGGAGAACATTCCACACAGAGAGTAGTACCTGGAGCCTAGGAATCAGTATCTTGTTTGTAGATTAGCTGGGAAGCCAGTGTCACTGAATTGGAGAATACATATTGAGGAATAAGGTGTAAGAAGAAGGTATAAGGTGTAGGAGGGGGCTAGGTTATGAAGGGCTTTGAGTGCCAAACAGGATTTTGATTTTACTCCTAGCTGCAACAAGGAAGCCATTAGAGCAGGGGTGGGGAGTTATTAGAGTTTATTGCATTAGAGTTCACTGAGGGAAGGAATATGTGTTGGGAGAGGGATGGGGGTGTGGCGGGGTGTGGGGGGTGGGGTTCCCTGACTTGAGTTTTAGGAGAATAAATTTAGTGGCTGAATGGATTGGATAGAGTAGGGAGAGACTTTGAGGTATGCAGATCTGCTGTTTAGTCTTTTTTTTCCAGTTGTGTCCAACTCTTCAAGACCCTATTTGGGGTTTTCTTGGCAGACACTGGAGTGCTTTGTGATTTCCTTCCCTAAGCCCATTTTACAGATGAATAAACTGAGGCAGATGGGTGAAGTGACTCTATTCACTGTGCCACCTAGCTGGCTTAGGCAGGTCTACCAGCAGGCTATCAACAGAGAGAAGGCATTAGAATTGAAGGGTATGGGGAGGAGCTTTCTGTTGAAAGATGAGATTTTAGATTTGAAGGAAGCCAGGAAAGTCAGGAAGCCGAGATGAAGAGGGAGAACATTTCAGGAATGGAGAAACAGTCGCCCAGAGTTGGGAGATGGATTATCAGTTGGGAGAGGCCAGTGTTACTGGTTTGAAGAGTACATAGGAGGTATAGGGGAAGGAATATAAGGTGTAAGAAGACTGGACAGGTGGAGAGAAACAGGTGAAAAAAGGCTTTGAGTGTCAAACAGGATTTTATATTTGATCCTGGAGAAGGCTGAAAGCCATTTAAAATTAGTATCTCCACTTCCTTTCTTATTTTCTTCTTAACCCTGCAGTCTGACTTCCAGCCTCATCTTTCAACTGAAACTGCTCTTTTAGAAGGTTACCAAAGATTTCTTAATTGCCAAATCTACTGGCCTTTTCTCAGCTTTCAGCCTTCTTGACCTCTCTGCATCCTTTGACAGTATTAACTCTCTTCTTGATGCTTCTCTCTAGGCTTTTGTGACATTGTCTGCTGGTTGTGCACCTATCTATTGAACCACCTTTCTTCTTAATCTCCTTTGTTGGATCTTTATTTGATATTGAGTGTTCCTTCAGGCTCTGTCTCGTTTTCTTCTCTTTTCCCTTTAAACTCTTTCCCTCAGTGATCTTGTCAGTTCCCATGGATTCAATCATAATAAGCTCACTTGCAGATGATTCTAGATCTGTTTAGCCACCCTTAAATTCTCTCCTAATCTCCTATTTCATCTGACTGCCCATACATCTCAAACTGGGTGTCCCATCTTAAACTCTCACACATCTTCAACTCAACATGTCCAAAATGGAACTCATCATTTTTCCTCCCAAGCCCTGTGTTCTTCCTAACTTCCCATTTACTGGCAAAGGTACCTCTGTCCTCCCAGGCATTCAGGCTGGCAATCTAGATGTCATCACTCCTCATTCTGTCTCACCTCGCCATACTTAATCTCTTCCCAAGGCCTGCTGATTTCACTTCAGCAACATCTCTCAAATATGCCCCTTTTTCTCCTCTGATACTGCCACTACTCTAGTGCATGCCTTGTCATGTACTTGGGCTATTGAAATAGCCTGGTGGCTCTGCCTACCTCTAGTCTCTCCCCACTCCAATCCATCCTCTATTCAGCTCCCAAAGTGATTTTCCTAAAGCACAGGTCTGACCATGTGGCCCCTTCGCCTCCAGGATTAAATACAGAATTCTCTCTTTGGCATTCAAAGCCATCCCCTTCCTACTTTCTAGTTTCCTTATACCTTACTCCTTGACACATATGCTTGATCCAGCAACAGCGAGCTTCTGGTGGTTCCATGAATAAGACATTGTATCCCTTGGCTTTTGGCATTTTCTCTGGCTGTTCCTCTTTCTTGGCGTGCCCTCCCTCCTCATCTTCTTCTGGCTTTCTTTAAATCTCAACCAAAATTCCATCTTCTACCAAACCCTCTTAAGGGCATCTTCGCTCTCTTAATCATTTCCTGTGTATAGCTTATTTATACATATTTGTTTGCTTGTTGTCTCCTCAATTAGATGGTGAACTTCTTGAGGGCAGGGACTGCCTTTTGGCTCTTTTTGTATCCCCAGGGCTTAGTACACTTCCTGGTGCATAGT